TAAGTGAATGTCAGCTGTCAAAATACACACAAGAACAAGTGTAGAAACTCAGTAGGACTTAATCCAGTTAATTCAGAACATTATTTATACAATAGAATTTCAGATATGGTCACACATTCATGAATATTGATAGAAAATCATTACAATGATCTTTCAAGAGTTACAGAACCATAGAGGCACATTAGAAGGAAGGAACTGACTCAAATGATATAGGCTCATATACCTAGACTAAGATGACAACCTTGTTTGACATCATTAAAGGTTCATATCCCATTTTTACTTTATTTTATCAGGTGGATAATCTTTAGTACATAGGGTAAGTCTGTAAGTCAACAAGTAACACTAAGTAAAGACTAGTAGAGTAAGTATGAGAGTCATAACAAAAGTCATCAGCAATGTTTAATGTCAAAATAGATGCACATAACTAGTAAGGTTCTTTGCCAATCACACATTACATATTTATTGAGATTACAAAGTAGTTGACTAGTATTAGTTTAATTTCTGATTACTAAGGAAAACAATACCAAAACATAATGTTAATTATGAACTGATAATAATATATTATGAACAGAAATAATCAACTATAACCAATAATAACACATCATGAGTGAGTCTACTTAATATACGCAAGATTTCAATTAAATAGTCAAAGGAAAAGAAGGATCGAAGATCACTGACCTTACTTTGAGCAGCAAACCAAATGAGGACTTTTGTTAGCCGTCTAGGGATTAGAAAGCTCAAACTCCGACCAGTAATAAAGCTCGAAATGGGAAAAGAAACCAAACTAGTTAGAAACCCTAGCTTAATTCTTTACTAAGCAAATTCTAAAATTGATATTCTCTGTAATTGATTTCTAATGTGTATCACGTGTTAGGTATGTTAGGTGAGAACATTAAAGATTTCCTTTTATAGTGACATTCGATGCCTTAGGTTTCAACTGATTTAAACGATAGTGGAGAATAACAGAGGGTTGATGATGTGAGCACAATTGAGTGAAATCAGAGACGAACAGAGGGGAAAATCAGCGAAAGTTTTACTTGAAGTGGGGAAAGGTTGACCGTTGAAAGTAAAATCAGGGGACAAAGCTCAAAAACCCATAGGTCATTGCGTTTGACCTCTGGGTATAGAATCTTCATCATGAGACTTTGAAGAAGATTCATGCATGCTTCGATTTAACATAACGCAAGAGGAATCCGGTGATTCGATGTTTTATGTTTAAGCTAGGATTTTCGAATTTGGGTGTTTGAATCTTAAAGACAAAAATGAGAAAAGTTCAGCGAGGATCGTGGGTATTGAAGACAGAAAGGATGACTTCTGCGTGATTTGAGACCCTGCACGAATTTGTGCAAGGTTTTCTTGACTGATTAAGGCGATGAGTTTGAGAGAAATGATAGAGAAAATGAAATGGGGTGGCCGAGCCTGTGGGAAAATGATTTTAGGGTTAGGGGAATTAGGTTCGTCTCTTAGGTTAAGATAAGGAGATGAGACCTGGACCGTTGGATCTGACGATCAACGACCCTGATGATTCATGCATTTAAGAGTTTTAATGAAGAATTTTGGTGACTATCGATTTAGCATTTTGACGATGGGGATGAAGTCTGATGAGTGTTTTAAATTAAACAGAAAATTGAGACAATTTGTGAGCCGTTGATTAAAGGAATGGACGACTTAGATCTATTGTGCTTCTTTTGTGGGCGTGGGAGATGGGCGACGTGGCGAGTTCTAATTGGATTGTGGAGGTGGGAATAGATCGCCAACATGGATATGTGAGGTTGTTTGGACCGGGTTAGATGAGATATTGGGCCAATGTTTGGGCTGAAATTGATTTGATAAAAAGCCACATTGTATTTAATTGATCATTTGCAATTGTAGCCTTTTGATCTTTTAACCTCTTTAAATTAACTTAATTAATTCTAATTAAATGTGATAGAAAATATAATCATTAAATACACCAGAAATTACTGTAATTAACTAATTTATTAAAATAATTTATTTTCTAAATTATGGAACTAATTTTGAATTAATTTAAATAATAAACGAGTTAATTAAAATCAATGGTTAATTTATTAAATTAATTGTAAAACTTATGTAAGAAAATATAAGGGTTACTTTAATTATTTCAAAATAACAAGGGTGATATATTTTATAAGCAATTAATACCGAGTTATTGATTTAACAATATTAATTTCTATTTTTGTTATATTTGTATAAAAATAAGTATTATTGATTATAAAATATTTTCAACGCATTTATTGCAAATTGTTGATATAAATAATTTAATTTTAAAAGGGAGGTTCAAAATTGATCATCAACATGTGTTAAAAGATATTACCAAGTCCTCTTTAGACCGGGTACGCCGAGTTCTATTGAGATATGGTACAGTCGAGTTCTATTGAGGCCGGGTACGACCAAGATCTCTTGATGCCGGATATGATGAGCCTTATTGAGGCCAGGTACAACCGAGACCTCTTAAGGAAGAGTACAATATGATAAAAACATGAGACTTTACTGAGCCCTCTATGAGGCCGGGTACGATGTGAGATGATATTCCCCAAAGAGTGAGTAAATAATGTTATATTGCACCTAATGCATGGGCCCAATAAGTGGCTTGATTTTTATAAAATTTGCATATCCTTATGATTCACGGTTACAGCAGTGTACGCCCTCATGGCTTGTCTTAAGTATTTAGGTTAAAAAATTATGCATTTATATCCCTTGTCTTTGGTTTACCTATATTATCAGCCTTACATACTCAATACATCTTTCATACTGACGCCCATTTATTCCGGGCGTTGTGTTCATGCCCATAGGTACACATAGACCAGGTAATATGCCTCCTCCGTAGGGTGCCCAATTCAGTTGTTGGTTGCTGCACTCCACTTCCCAAGAGTATCTGAACAGAAGTCGATGGGTATTGGAGTACATGTCTCTGTCATTTTGGATATGGTGGGGCCCTGTCCCGACCAAGTTGTATATTATGGTATCCTTAGAGGCTTGCAGACTAGTGTTCAATATGTAAGTAAATGTTGTTATAACTTGTTAGCCTTGGCTAGCCATATGCTTAGTACTATAGTTTTCCACTTGTCAGTCGTGAACATTTTTATCTTGTTAATATAGTTGGAGGCCTGGTTGGCCCAGGTTTCATGTTTAATGATCTAAGTATTGATGTTGGTTCGCACATGCCATCGGGCGTCATGTGCCGACCACACCTCCCGAGGTTGGGGTATAACATTTTCAATTTTTAGAGTAAAAGGATATGTATAAACGAAATTATACCCGAGTTTGCTAAAAGTAACACTCTCCATTTCGCGAGAGGGTAAAACCTCAATATTTTTCCAATCACAATCCTTCTTCACGATGGGAATACTGGCTCGGGTATTCACTGACAGCTCTATTTCTATCATTGTTAGGATCAAATGATTCTTTTTAAACATGGAGATCCTTTTTGAAAGATCACTGTGAAGGGATGATTGTATTTATTGTAGAAGGACCAATGTCAGGTTTCTTGGACTTACTTTTCTTGGATGGACCGCTTTTGGTACAACCCCGATACCGTTATATAAAGAAATCAAAATAAATATGTGTACTTTAGTAGCAAAAGATGTGCAGTCGGAGGGCAAAAATAGCAAAAAATATGGTGATTAAAGAAATTAATATGTGAATTTGAAGGTTTCACTGAGGAGAAGGAAGTTGCAGAGAATTTTTAAGAACTCTCGATGAAGAAGTGTGCAAAAGTGAAAGATGAAATTAGAGGAAAGGAAGAAGTTTATAGGTGGCTCAGAAAAAAGTCATCATTACTAACATGCGTAAATGTTTGTCGAATCACAGGACTATACGTGTTCGGCTCATTAACTGCAAAGAGATATGTGTCCTTTTAAGTCTTAGAATCCATTCAAGAACTGTTCTGCCAAGAAAAGAGAATGACTTATCTACTTTTCGGCCATATCAAGCTGAGTCACCAGAAAGTAGAGAGATTATCTGTATTGGGCAAAGTTTGAAGATTACAGGTGGATGCTTCTCGAATAGACACGTGGTAGCGAAGATATGTAAGTGATGAGTCAGCAAATGGCTAGCACCAGTTATAAGCGTGTGACCGGTACTATACAAGTTTCGAAGGTATTAAGACCAGGGAAGAGAATTTGAAAGTAAGGTACCATTTGGAAAGGACAACATTAAAAGAGCAGCCGTTATAGAAAATCATAGCATTTATTTTCAACCGTCATGCAACTATCAAGATGGGTTTTTACTCACTTTAAAAGAGGAGCATGATTTGGGGATACTGTCTCATCTAATTTAGCTATAAATAGTGAAATTTATACTCATTGAAGGACATAAAATATTTGTATGAAAAAAGGGTGATACTATTCTCTTATCGATAAAGCTTTATTTTATTGTTATTAAGATTTTCGCATTGTTCTTGACTCTGGAGAAATCAATTTGAAGCTCGGGCTTGTCTTTTCCTCAGTTATCCTTATTTTACTTGCTTTGCTCTTTATTATTTTATTTTATCGGATCAATTTAATCCACATATCTATAAACCACGTAACAAATTTAACTGTACCTATTTGCGAGTAAACAATTTAGATCTATTACATATCATATCTCATGTCTCTATTTATATAATTATGTATAGGCTTACAAAAAAATTGCCTTAAACATGCCATTAATAATTTGGATTACGGAGAAGATAAGGGGAGATTATGGAGATGTGAAAGTTACAACTATAATAGTGAGAAATAATAAGAATTATTAATTACATAATAAAGAAAAGTATTGGAGTAGTGGATATCCATAGTAAATACTATATAATTTAACAATAGAAACAATACTTCTTATATATTTTAATATGTATTTCATGGCTGATGCAAATATTTGTTGAATGCGGATATAGCTAAATTTTATTGTTTTTAATATACAGTTTTTATTTTTATTTTTTATTATTGATACGAGGTAAAAGCACAAGGTGAGATATTATTACTAATCCCTCAAACAAGTGTGCTTTCTCTTGTTTACTCTTGCAGTCTTGCCTCGACTTCTTCACCTTCTTGCCCTTCTCTCTCTCATTCCGAGCTTCCATACCATCCCTATACCTTCCTCTCTTATACACGCACCAATTTTACCAAATACCCCACGATAAATTTTTTTCCACCCAAACCTTTGTTTCCCTGAAATAAGGGTCGCTTCTATATCCAATCTAACTAATACCCACAACAAAATCATCTTCTCCGCACCTTAGGTTTTTCTCTGTAGGGTTGCCGCGGTTGCATCCTTTATCCTTCTTATCACTGATAACTACTGCTAGATTTTCTCTGTAGGGTCTTCTTATCTAACTCGCTTTTAGTCTATTTATCGACATACGCATCAGAATTGTATATTATGAAAACTCCGTTTAAAAATTAAATTGAAACAGGTAATAGGAAAAAAAAAAAAATCTTTGGAACCCTCAATCGAATTCCCCCAAAGTTATGGTGTCTTCGATCATATGCCACGTGGAACCCAGTGAAGCGGAGACGAATCATACCCCATTCTACTCTCGAAAGAGATTAAAGCCTTCGGATTCACAGGGTTCTATTGGGGATGAAAATCCTGCTGATGTAGTGTCTACAATGGAGTTCACTATTGGGTATTGCCTGATTTTTCCATGTCTAATTTTTATTTTCAATTGGTATATTTGCACTTTTATCCCTACTTATCGCCAAATTCTAATTTGGTCCTTGTGATATATGGTTGAACACATTTAATTTTCAATTAAAGGAAATGTGCTCTTTTGATCCTTCTATTTGTAAATCTTCGCAAATATAACGAATTAGTAACTGTTAAACCATTCAACTACACATATTATATTAATTTTGTATTGCTACTCCATATGTGAGGGTAATATAATTCTAAAAATAGTCTATATATACCATATTTTCTATGTAAAGGGACCCAAATCACTCTTTTTAATTAATTCAAGGTTACATATGCTTAGTGAATCTCAGGTTATAATCGCAATGAAGGCAAAAAAGACACTAGGTGATTTCTTCCCAGCTGACTTAAGACTTAGTTGAGAGAGTTACTAGGTACCTGTGCTGGGAGGTAGCAGGTACGCACAAGTTGGCCCAGATACCACTCATAACAAAAAATGCTTAGTGAAATATGACAAGAACTAAAATTAGGGTAATCTTAGTAGTTCAGTTGGTTGGTATCTGAACTTTCACCTTATTGGTGAGGGTTCAATTACCAACCTTGTAATCCCCTTCCCCATTTCCCACTACAAAAAATAACAAGGACTAAAATCATAATTTACTAGTAGCAGATGATCACAAGTGCAATTATCCCTTTTCAATTTTATGTGCACACTTCACACTATTTATACTTTATTGTTTCTTCTGTTTTTCCGGGCTTGGTGTGATATTATCAGTTGCTTGAAAAATCTCGGTTCACCATTATGTGTGGAAATGAGTTGCCAGTCTAATGGGGAGATTGAGAATGTTTCATCGCCTCGTGATGTCGGTGGCAGTTCAGTAGGTGACAAGATCAGTGTAGTGTACCCTCAACCTCCACTTGCAACCGGATGGATGTATGTCAATCAACAGGGTCAAATGTGTGGTCCTTACATCAAAGAACAATTATATGAGGGTCTATCTACTGGTTTCTTGCCTGAAGAACTTCTGGTTTATCCCATCTTAAATGGGACTATGTCAAATGCAGTGCCCTTAAAGTATTTCAATCAATTTCCTGACCATGTTGCAACTGGCTTTGCTTATTTAACGGCTTCGTCCGGACCGATGAATAAATTCTCCGGAGTTGCCAAAGACTTAGGAGGAAATGGAGTGGAGTTGACAACAACTTCCCCTTACTCTGACTCAGAGGCTAAACATGGAACTCATTCCTTGAACCAGCATGTCTCGACCACTGGCTTTGCGGGAACAGTTGCTCCCTCTATGTTTATGGTACTTTCTCTTTTACCTTTAAGGATTTGTGTTGTTCTGAGGTGATTCTCTTATAATTATTAATGTAATTATGGAATCTGGATGAGACAAATAGACTTTTATTGTATTTTCTGCTATTCTGATTCCCTATTTCTGACTTTCCTTTGCTTAATATTTTGTGTGAAATAGGACTACGAAGAATCGTGCTGGCTGTTTGAGTATCATGATGGGAGGAAACATGGGCCGCACTCTCTTATAGAGCTTTATTCATGGTATCATTATGGTTACATTCTGGATTCAGTGATGGTGAGCCTTATATCTTCCTTAGCATTTTGTAAGTCTTTAACCTAGCACTATAGCACACGGTGCAGCTGTTTCTCCTACTATCCCACTCATTCTGCTGGAAGATGTTTGTTTTTTTGTTGGATGTACCATTGGATTTTCTAAGCTATATGCACAACTGAATCTATGTAAATGGTGCACCCAGTTTTGATGGGTGGTGCTACTGATCACTTAACTTTTCCAAAATTCAATATGACTTGTGTTTTAGCGGAAGCACAAAAGCTGTGAGAACTCTTTCAACTAAATATTAGTATTGTTTTTATAAGTGATGCGATTTTTATTAGAGAAGCAAACTTGGGAAGTGGGGAAGTAGCCTCTTTTTTGAACAGTCAAGTAAGGGACAAGTATGCATTATTTGTATAGAAAACTCAGGAGAAGAGGCTCTTCTTGTGATAATGTTGAAAGTAGGAACGTAATAGGATTCATTTCTATTAAGGCGAATCCTTAGAATTTCTGTTGCGACAAAGTTCTATTACCATAGTTAGTGCCATATTTCAAAGGTGTCTTGATCTTAATTCTGTGTGGGCAGGTTACATCTCGATTATTCTTTTTGTCACTTTCTTCCTCCTGACTTCTGTCAGTTGGCCTTACTTAACCCATAGTCTCTTCTCATTTTATCCACACGTTATTCCCGCACATCTTCTAATATCCTCTAACTTTGCCATTTTGAATCTGGCATAGCTTTCCTATATTCTTTGCTCTTGTTGCCGGGTTAAAGTTCTTGTCACAACTTGAAAAGGTTTATTTATTAACTGTTTCTCTATTCTACTTTATATCATTTGCCCCACGTTGCAATCTCCAAACCAAACTCAAAGATACTTCGCAAATTCTGTTAAGTAGTCTCCCCTTTTCTTATCTTCACATCAGTTGAACTTTATTTTTTCATTATGAATTATTCCCATGAGTTTCAACTTGCTTCCCTTTGTTTTTCTAGCCTCATATAGCTCAACTACTAGTTTGGATTCTAGGCAGCTGAAAAGACTGTTCGTGGTTCTCATCGCCAATGATTTTAAAATCAAAGTGACTCCGGCCAGTTGCATCCATAGATTGGTAATCACAAGAGAATCCTACTCTTAACTCGTTGTTTTAATTTTTTCTAAGGTTTCTGAACTAATTTTCCTAGGTTTCGGAAACAGCCTCTCGGCCTTCTTGAAGGTAGGGGTAAGGTTTGCGTACATACTACCCTCCCCAGACCCCACATGTGGGATTACACTGGGTCTGTTGTTGTTAGTGCCTCTACTTGAACTTTTTTGAGTATTTTATTTTTTTACACGACTCTTTGAATTTTTGGTCCCATCGGAGTGCTGTGGCAATAATTCTATTGTAATGAAGCACTAATTAAGTTCTTTTTCTTGGTTTTGTGTTGATTTGAGGATTTTGACCTTTTTTCCCTCGTTGGCTGTATTGTTGGAGATTTTCCAACTTTTTCATGCAAGGTGGCACTGAACCTAATTGGTATGTGCTCAGTGTTTTCTTTTTCATGTTTACTTTTGCAGATACATCATGCTGATAATAAGTTCAGACCCTTTACTCTGAACTCTTTAATAAGCAGTTGGACTACGGCTACCCCTGGAGCTCTTATGTCTAATTCCAATGGGCATGAGACTGCCTTTCTACCAGATTTTGTATCTGAGATTTCTCATGAAGTATGCTCACAGCTTCATATGGTGATCATGAAAGCAGCTCGTAGGACTCTGCTCGATGAGATTGTTAGTCATGCAATTTCAGAGTGCATCTCTAAAAAGAAAGATCACAAGAAAGTCACTAATCAGTCTGTCAAAATGTCCTCCCCTAGTACCAGAATGGTAAATAACATTCAAGCATTAAATTGACATTTAGAATCTTGCGTGCTACTTATCATTTATGCTGTGAACAGTCTGCAGGTTTTAGTGGCAGTAAGGCCTTAGTTGCTCCTGAGAGCAGTACAAAAGCTCCTAATCTTCTTGACCAGAAATCTCCTGTTGAAATTTCTTTGCAGTCTTCAGGAAGTTCAAAATCTGTCGGAAGCTTTGAGAACTTTTGTGAATCTTATACAGTTGTCTGCAGAACGTTATTCGACTCTTCCATGCAAAGCATCTGGAATGCTGTCTTCTATGACCATGTCTCAGAGTTTGCATCTGCGTGGAGGAAGAAAAAGCGATGGTCACCTCCTTGTCCTATGGTTGAATCAAACATTCTAGCAAAGTCGTACACCAACTGCACCACAAAGCTCTCTACTGAAGTTGTAAGTTTTTTATGCTGTTGTTTTTCCTGTCATTCTGCAGTGCTTATATATCCTGTCTTATTGACAGACGTATGACTTTGTAGTTGCAAGTGGACGAAGAATATTTTGGCTGTGATCTTGATTTACCTCCAGGGTTTGAGGAGAAGATTGTGACAGTGGATTTGCCTTCAGTTTTTTCATCAAAAGATTGCACCGCAAAGCTCTCCACTGAAGTCGTAAGTTTTTTATGCTGTTGTTCTTTCCCGTCATTTTGCAGTGCCTGTGTCTGCTGTCTTACGGACAGATCTATGACTTTGTAGTTGCAAGTGGATCAAGAATCTTTCGGCTGTGATCTTGATCTCCCCCCAGGGTTTGAGACAAAGAATGTGACAGTGAATTTGCCTTCAGTTTCGTCATCAAAAGATTGCACCGCAAAGCTCTCCACTGAAGTCGTAAGTTTTTTATGCTGTTGTTCTTTCCCGTCATTTTGCAGTGCCTGTGTCTGCTGTCTTACGGACAGATCTATGACTTTGTAGTTGCAAGTGGATCAAGAATCTTTCGGCTGTGATCTTGATCTCCCCCCAGGGTTTGAGACAAAGAATGTGACAGTGAATTTGCCTTCAGTTTCGTCATCAAAAGATTGCACCGCAAAGCTCTCCACTGAAGTCGTAAGTTTTTTATGCTGTTGTTCTTTCCCGTCATTTTGCAGTGCCTGTGTCTGCTGTCTTACGGACAGATCTATGACTTTGTAGTTGCAAGTGGATCAAGAATCTTTCGGCTGTGATCTTGATCTCCCCCCAGGGTTTGAGACAAAGAATGTGACAGTGAATTTGCCTTCAGTTTCGTCATCAAAAGATTGCACCGCAAAGCTTTCTACTGAAGGCGTATGTTTTTTATGCTGTTGTTTTTTCCTGTCATTTTGCAGTGCTTGCGTCTCCTTTCTTACAGACAGACCTATGACTTTGCAGTTGCAAGTGGAGCAAGAATCTTTCGACTGTGATCTTGATTCCCCCCCAGGGTTTGAGACAGAGAAAGTGACAGTGGAGTTGCCTTCAGTTTCTTCATCTTTTAATGATGAAAAGGGGTTGTCTAAATTCAGTCATGCAATGGACTCTGAAGCTAATGACCGTATGCAACTTATCCTTGATTGTGTATTGGAAGAACTCCACCTGTCTGCTAAGATGTCATTGGAAGAATACTTTACCAGCCTTTTGCATGAAGAGGTGACGGGAAAAGTTCATTCTCTTGAAGATGGCATGATAACCAAGGTGAATGTCTGAACTTGCTGTAATTTGTGTAAACTTTATGCTCTCTCCCCTAGAAGAGGATAGATGGTGGAGAGATTTTGTTGAAGTAATGCTTTACCTGGTAATATTTTCCCCTGTATAATTGGAGACACCAATGTGTTACCAAATATAGTGAATTTCAGCTTCTCAAGGAACAGTTTTATTCTGCAGGTTGCTGAGGACTCGAATATTTGTCTTGGTGTTGCAAGTGAAAATGATTCTTCTGATGCCATTTCGGTTTCAGAAAACTTATCATGTATAGATATTCAGAACACTTCACCGCTCGAAAAATCATTGCACCAGAACTCTATTGATACATACATGATTCCTTCATCTTATTGTCTTTCAAGTGCATTTCAGAAGTCTGCTTGTTTAGACAATGCCACCATAGATGAAATGACTGACGAGCTGCAACCACCTCAATGTGAAGCTGTTCCTGTGCAAACTTCTAAAGTTCGGCTTGCTAGGTCTGATGATCATATTCTGAGGATAGTATGGTATGCTATCCTGTCAAATTGCCGGCAGAAGGTACACGAGAAAGCACTGGGAGAGTTGAAATTTTTTCTTCTTGATGACTTAATTAGAAAATTTTTGACGACTTGGTGTTCTGCGAAGAGACGTGGTAAACCAGAGGATTCTGAGGTGAGTGCAAATTTTGGGCTTCTTAGTGCTGTCAGTTCAAAGAGTTAATTTTTTCCCTCAATTCAGAGTTAATGTTTTACCCTCTTAGAGGCTAGTTTCTCCTCAGTTTAAAGAGTTAAGGTCTGCTGAATGATACTTCTGCTTTGTCAGGTTACAAGAAGCAAAGCGTATAACGAGAAACGTGATAACTCTCCAGTTGCATTGAGCAAAAGCGTGGATGGTTTTCCTAAGGTACCTACAGTAGCAGGGAAATACACATACTACCGGAAGAAAAAGATGGTCAAAAGAATGTCAGGTTCTTCACTGCAGCCTCTTCCTGATAGAGACGTTGGCTTTCAAAAGAGATCTTCTAACAAGTCAAGGAAACAAGATCTCTTGGGGGAGGCAACAGAGAGCGCTAAAGGTGTCAATGCAGCTTCAAGTGTTAAGGAAATTGGGCTGAAAGAATGTCGCAGAGAGTTGTTCACTTCAGTTGCTCCTCCATCATCGGTTATTAATTGCAATACAATCTCAGAGAAGGTTGCCTCTGTTTCCAGAGGTATTTCAGTTTTCCTGAGTTTTCTCAAATGTCATTATATTTTTTTGTCATGTTTATCATACTTGTACCAAATTTTGCAGCGGGGAGAAGTAATGCAACCCGCAAGAAACTGAAAGCTACTTTTGTTGCTGAGGATTCCGGTGATATTGGGAAGGTTGATGGAGACGTTGGCTTCAAAAAGAGATCTAACAAGTCAAGGAAACAAGATCTCTTGGGGGAGGCAACAGAGAGTACTAAAGGTGACAATGCAGCTTCAAGTGTTAAGGAAATTCGGCTGAAAGAATGTCGCGGAGAGTTGTTCACTGATGCTTCTTTAGTTGTTCCTCCATCACCGGTTATTAATTGTAACACTATCTCAGAGAAGGTTGCATCTGTCTCCCGAGGTATTTCAGTTTTCCTGAGTTACTTTATTCAAAAGTCATTATATTTCTTGGTCATGTTTGGTGTACTGTACCAAATTTTGCAGCGGGGAGAAGTAATGCAACCCGCAAGAAACTGAAGTCTACTTTTGTTGCTGAGGATTCTGGTGGTATTGGGAAAGTTGATGGAGATGTTGGATTCAAAAAGAGATCTTCTAACAAGTCAAGGAAACAAGATCTCTTGGAGGAGGCAACTGAGAGCACTAAAGGTGACAATGCAACTTCAAGTGTGAAGAAAATTGAGCTGAAAGATTGTCACAGAGAGTTGTTCACTAATGCTTCTTTAGTTGTTCCTCCATCAGTGGTTATTAATTCTAACACTATCCCAGAGAAAGTTGCATCTTTCTCCAAAGGTATTTCAGTTTTCCTTAGTTACTTTTCTCAAATGTCACCAGAATGGACATTATATTTATTGATCATGTTTATCACACTTCTAAATTTTGCAGTGGGGAGAAGTAATGCAAGCTGCAAAAAACTAAAGGTTGCTTTTGACTCTGAAGGCTCCAGTGACAATGGAAGGGTAGCTGAGGTTGTGAACAGAGAATTGGGCACACTTGAAATGCAACCTACTGCTTCTCTGAAAAAGACTCCTCAATGTTAGTGTTTAAGTATCATCTAATTTGTCCTCTATCTTTCCTTCGTTTATGTTATCACTGTTTGCATGATCTCCCATGTTTATTTCCTCTATAATAAGTCTTTTTTGGGCTATTGAGCAGTGGCCAAATTACCAAAGTTGAATAAGAGAAAACTCGAGTATAATATGTCAGCATCTCGTTCAAGAAAAATTCAGAGAGTATCAAGTGGTGCTGGCAGCCAACCAGCAACTAAGGAGGTTATTGTAGAGAAGAAACAGAAGGGTAAATCCCGGACAGCAAAACATTGTCCACAATCAGATGGCTGTGCTCGATCTTCCATCATTGGTTGGGAATGGCATAAATGGTCGTTGAAGGCAACTCCTGCTGAAAGGGCTCGTGTTAGGGGAATTACTATTGATCATATTCAATCTGTCAGTTCAGATGCTAATGGTTCTCAAGTGTTGAATGCTAAGGGAATTTCTGCAAGAACAAATAGGGTTAAGTTGCGCAACCTCCTTGCTGCTGCCGATGGTGCAGATCTCTTGAAAGCTACTCAGTTGAAGGTAACATGAGAATGCACTAAGTTATAATTTTTTTTTGGATTTATTTGTTTTTTGTAATTTGTTTTATACAAGTTACATATCATCTCTGTCTTTCGTAGGCGAGGAAGAAGCGCCTACGCTTCCAACGAAGTAAGATACATGACTGGGGTCTTCTTGCCCTTGAGCCGATTGAGGCTGAAGACTTTGTCATTGAATATGTTGGGGAGCTTATACGTCGGCGTGTAAGAGCATTATTTCCCTTCCTGAAGTACATTCCAGCATGCTGCTTTTGCCTAAGTCTTCTTCATCCATTTTGGTGTCTTAGCTTTGTTTAATTTGTGGCCAAATAATTTTGTTTGATTGCCTGAAACACTAATCTCAAGTGCTCATTATTTGAACTGTTACTCAGTTTTTTTTTTAGCTTATCAGGTATCCGACATACGAGAGCACTATTATGAGAAGATTGGAATTGGGAGCAGTTACCTTTTCAGACTGGACGATGATTATGTGGTGAGAAAATATTTTGAGAATTCAATTTCTTGTACTATTATACAGATTTCTCACATGGTTTTACTTAAGATAGAAAAAGAAACTTTATTAATACAGGAAAGTAGAAATTCTATTCTAGCTGTACTCTGTTTGTCTATATCTATCCAAAAAAAGTCATTACTCTGGGATCACACTGATGCAATGGAACTCACTCATGCCAAATCTATTTTGGTACATATTGCTGTTAAAATGTTCTGGTAGTACTGTCTGATCGAAAGACCGTGTAATAGAAGCACGAAGGCAGACACACAAAGGCATTATTTTTTTCATAGTGTTCCGAACTCTGGTAGTAATAAGCTCATTAAGAAGTCTTTCCATGTATATATCTCAGCGCATAGAGCAATGCAAAAAGGCATTATTTTCTTCTGCTGCTGCTCAAAAGCACTTTTTGTTTTTGGCTGAACACCTTAAATCTCAAGAGAGTGCTTTGGCCCCAAAAGAGTGCTTTTGGCTTCCTAGAAGCTTGGCCAAACAGACTATTAATAAGGAGCATTTATGACATGTCAAACTAGAAGTAGGATTGGTGTTTAAAAAACTATAATTATTAAAAAAAAAACGGAAAATGGTTAAAAATACCCCTTTACTATGTGAAAAAGATCATATATATCCTCCGTTATACTAGTGGTCCGTCACAGTCCGGACGTTATAAAATTGGTACAAAAATACCCTTTCTCCGTTAGAGCCTCCACCATGTTCAACATCATCCTACGTGGCCTAACTATTCGCTGAGGTAGATGCCACGTGGCAATGCCACTTCACCACCCCAACCCCATTTTACCCCCTCCCACCACTTCTTCCTTTCCATAGTTGCTCAAACCCTTAAAGATGAATAACAAAAAAAATTCAGAAAATAAATTAGCTAAACATGAATTCCAATTTTCTTTACTTATCTAAATTTACCTTAAATATCTCTTAATTATTTATTAAAAACACAAAGATGCAACCTTTGAACCATATCGGCAGCAGTTGAAGCTCCACAAAGTCTGGTATTCGAAGATGATCTTGAAAAATAATTAGGCTCAACAGTACCACTAGAAATAGTTAGGCTGAACCTATGGAGAAGGCTCAAATACATGGGACAAGTTTGAATTGTGGGTGCACAAGCGTGTGATTGACCTTTTCAGTTTCTCAGAGGCTAAGCAGATCACCTCAATCACCATTGAACCGGTATTGAGGATGGGTTTGCCATTGCTGATTCTTGGATTTTTCTCTGTTTTCAGTAGGTTGTTGAATTACTCATTATCTGTTCAAACACTAGTGGTATGGAGTTCCTTTCTTGACCGTCTAAACTATGGGCTTGAGGTTTTGAGACGTAAGTGGATTAAGGTTTTCTACTTCCAATTACAGTTTTGCAGCTAAAGCAGATACTACTATTTGATATGGAGAAAAGGATTTTTCCGTTATTCGATAGCAAAATAATAATAATTTTAGATATATTTTGGGCTTCCATCAAATCCCCAATCCGCATTTAGATCATCCACTTTCAAGCTTTCATGATCTCTTTGTTTGGGATCTTCTTCTGGAGGTTTCAGCCATGGCTTTTTGCGCCTTGGCGTCAAGTCTGAGCTGCTCAACCTTGTTTGCATCGTTATTAAAAGTGATGGTAGTGATTACAGTGGTTGGGTAATGTTAGTGATGGTGTTTGGGTGAAGGGGAAGGTGGTGGTAAAGGAACAAGTAGCGAGAGGGGTAAACGGGATTGGAGTGGTGGAGTGGCATTGCCACGTGGCATCTACATCAGCGAAAAGTCGGGCCATGTGGGATGATGTTGGAGTGGTGGAGGCTTTAACGGACGATGGGTATTGTTGCACCAATTTTATGATGTCAGGGGCTATAGTGGACCAATAGTATAACGAAGGGTATATATGATCCTTTGCACATAATAAAGGGGTATTTTTGACCCTTTTCCGTGAAAAAAAAGATGATTCACACCTCTCCTCGAGCCTCAAGTAGTTTGGGATTGAGGTATAGAGTAGTAGTTGTTGTACACATCTCCGTTCACCTTCCCTTGTGTGTCAATTTTTTTTTCCTGTAGCAAATTACCTATCACTAGAATGAATCACTATTATTAGGATATTGACTTTTCACCGTCACAACTAAAACATTTTGCAGACCATTATTTAGTTTACCTTCTTGTTTCATGTTAAGCAAACTAGGTAGAAGCTTTAGATGAATCTAATGGTGACAAATGCAACTGTCTGTAATTAATAAGGGTTGAAAGCTATCTGTCCAAAATAAAAAAAGGAAAAAAAGTTAATAGCTTTAATTTAAGATTTTATTTCCATATTTATTTAATCTGTACTTCCATATGTTGCACCTACGAATGGAAGCCGGAAACCTAACTGGAATGAGAAAGAAAAAGCAAATGGAAACACCGTGAGAGGTGGAGTAACAACAATAGTGATCAATGCCCGAGTCCTAGCAAAGGCGACTCTAGGTGAATTTTCCATCTACCTAAGTAATTGGTGGGTAGAATTACCTGATACCTTTGGTGGTGGGAGGTCGTAGGTACTCAACGGATTAGTCAAGATGCGTGTAAGCTAGACTAAAGATGTGAAAACATGCACAACAATATACGACGTTATTACATTGGGAAATACACAAATATACGCAGAAAAAAGATTTAGATCTGGAGTTTATCTTTTTAAGACGGAAAAAGCCTGTAGAAATATTACAAACACCTAAAGATATGTATTAATCAAATTTGATACATAACACTAAGAGCTTTTCATTCCTGAAGCAAAACTAAGAAGAAAGAGGGATTAGCACTTGGCCTACTATGGGCAAAATCTTTTAGGGGTAAATTGGTTATCTAACCGATTGATTGGAATCCTTTGGGTATTTAATGGTTTTGTGACTTAAAGAATTGAATAAGGAAGATTTATGTAGTGTGTGAAACATATACTTAGCAAGATCACTAGTAAAGAAATCAACAAGTAATTATTTCCGGATCTTATGTTCTTTAAATGCGCAGCTTATCAGTCAGACACCTGGTTGCAAACGGAAGATATTATTAGTTCACTACCCCAAAAGCCGAAAGTTAGACCCCAATACTGAAGTATGGTCTAAAGAAATCTAACACCTAGCTAATTGCATATTAAGGTTACGTAGTGGAATTGGACTTGTTCCCATTCTACAAACCAGATTGATCTACATATTAGGTTTGTTATTGAAATAAGATAGACCTGTATAGAGCTGAATGGATACAGATAGTTGAATAATTGATTGATAGATTGAATTGTCAAGTCTTAAATGGTGTAATAACTGCTTATTGGAACCACATTACTGTTCAGTTGAGCTGGATCTGAAAATCAATTGCTACTAGATTCATAAACATGGGGATTAATACTTGGATTGCTGATTCTTGTAATTGAAATTGCTGTTGTTTGTTTCTTAATGGTGGATGCAATTCACACTTGGCTATAGTGACCGTGATAACTCTGGGTATAATGCTTAGTCTAAAGGACTACTCTTCCAAATCATGCTATTTTTCTGGGAGTTAAGTCTAATTAATCCGATGTTGAAACAATAGTCATATTATGTTGCATATTATGAGAATTTGATGGAGATTGAGCCGACATTTCTTAGTAACTGACTGATTCTTGTTCAGGTTGATGCAACAAAACGTGGTGGTATAGCCAGATTCATAAACCATTCTTGTGAGGTAACGTTCTTACTGTTAGAATTATATGACTCTTCGACATGAAGTAAGTACTGCAGGTTTTTCCATTCAACATAACGCCATCCGTTTGATTTTAATGAATGTTGCAGCCGAATTGCTATACAAAAGTTATAAGTGTTGAGGGTCAGAAAAAGATCTTCATATATGCTAAGCGGCATATTGCAGCTGGTGAAGAGATTACTTACAATTACAAATTTCCTTTGGAGGAAAAGAAGATCCCCTGCAACTGTGGTTCCAAGAGGTAATGTTTTGGTCGAAGATTGAATTCTTAGCTAAGGTTTTCTTTTTTGATAAAGAAATTCTTGGCTATGTTTTTATTGTCTCTGCGATATATAACAAGAGGTATATGACAGGGAAAGAATTTTTTTGCTAGCTTTATCCTTTGTTTGATAGTTCTGTTGGTGAAACACATTCTCCTTAACAAGATGACAGTTGACGAGTATTTGTTTTTTCCTTTTCTGGATGACATTTTGACAAGACTTGCATATTAATTCTCTGGATCGTATAAATTTGTTGCGTTTTAGCTCAAGTTGTGTTTTTGTTCAAGTGCACAACTGTTATACTCTCTAATTCTTTTCCAAATCGTTTATTTCTCCAGCGATGTCTTAAAACTGTTATTTCTGTTAGCTTTCTTGACTCAATCTTGTTAAAGATCAGGAAAGGCCTTAGCTTATTTTGTTAATATATGGATGACTTATTAGGTGTCGTGGCTCAATGAATTGAAATGGAAAGGAGATGACAGATCTGATGTGTTCTGCTGCTGTATTTAGGTATCTCTGAAGTTTCTCGAGTTCAATCTTTTCGCTGTCTGTTTTCGTATATACTCCTTTTTCTCCTCCTTAGGGTCCTTTCTTGACTGATGGTTTCCAAGAACACTCGCTCTGCAGTTTTGCAGACAGATATTGTCATCATGTACATATAGTAAGCAATGATGTTGTCTATAGCAGCTCTTTTCTTTAATGTTTCTAGATTCTAGAAGCAGAAACCAATTTATACCTTGTTGTGGAATTATTGTTTTCTGAATATAGCCATCTTTCCCTACTTGTGTTTCATCTGCATTTTATTATTTTGTTACTATTTGTGCTGTATCTCAATCCTGCTCCAGCATATGTTGTCTCTGAATTGCTGTAGATCATCCACTAGTAGATTCCTTTTCTCCCGTGATGCGAATCTGATGCTCCTGTTATTTGGACAATCTACTGCTTCTCCTCCAATGCTTCGATTCCTAGATTAAGATGAGATATATGTATTGCCTCTAGGTGAGGAACATATGGAAGTTCTTTTTGGTCAAGTCTTTGTACACATCAGGGATCGTAAAGTTAGGTGTGTCTAAAGGTCCAGGACCACCATCGAAATCCTGGTGGTGGAATGAGGAGGTACAAGGAGTAAATAAAGCTAAAAGATAGTGTTATTACTTATAGGAAGTTGCCAAAAGCAGAAGAGGAGAAGCCTTTGCAGAATACAAGAGAGGTAGGTAGGAAGCTAATTAAGCTATTAGTGAAGCCCGAGAGGAAGCTCTAGATGGCTTATACCAAAAGGGGACACGAGAAGGGTAGAAAGAAATTTTTCAACTAGCACGACTGGGAGGAAGAAAGATAAGGATTTAAACTAGGTGAAGTGTATTAAAGGCGATTCTCAACAAGTGCCGACAGGAGATAATGAGGTCAAGGAGAGATGGAGAGGCTATATTGATCAATTTCTCAACTCTAACCAAGGCTCGAACTGTGGATCTCTTGGAAACAAACTTTCTACCTGCACAAGGTAGGGGTATCTGTGTACAAATTGGCCTCCCAGACGCCACGTGTGGGAATGTACGGGGTATGTTGTTTCTCAACTCTAACTAAGATAATGACATTTTAGACCTCCGCACATTTGTGTACATAGGAACTTTAGCTACATTCAGAGAATTAGGCGATAGAGGTAAAAGATGCCATGAAAATATGAAGATTAGAAGAACTTGTGGTCCATATAATATCCCTGTAAAGGTTTGGAAGTGTCTTGGAGAGGTTGGAGTAGAATGGCTTACCAAGTTGTTCACTCCTATACTGAGAAGTGGTAGGATGCCCAAGGAGTGGAGGAAGAGTACCCTAATCCCAATTTATAAGAACAACAGAGATATTCAAAGTTGTTTGAACTATCGTGGCATTAAACTGACGATTCATACATTGAAACTTTGGAAAAGAGTAATAGAGCGTAACTTACGAACACGACTAGAGGGCAGAGAATTTGGATTTATGCTAGGTAGATCTACTATGGAAGCTATATTCTAGTTAAGAAGATTGATGAGGTTTATCGCAAAAGGAAGAAAGATCTACATATGGTGTTCATTGACCTAAAGAAGGTATATGATATAGTACCGCTAAAGGTTCTTAGTGGGTGATGGAAAAGAAAAGAATTCATATTAAATATATAAATGCCATAAAGGACATGTATGAAGGAGTCGTCGCTAGCGTGAGAATAGTAGTAAGAGATACAAAGGAGTTTTTCATAATAGTGGATCTACGCCAAGGATCAATGTTGAGATGTTACAAGTTTACCCTGTTTATGGATGGGCTAACCAACACAATACAATATAAGGCCCCATGGTGTGTGTGATTTATTGATGATACTGTGTTAATTGATGAAACCAACGAGGGCGTCAACCAAAAGCTTGAATTATGGAGAAACACTCTAGAGAGTAAATGTTTTAGGATAAGTAGAAGTTGACTGAATACATGCACTGCAAGTTTAGCAAGCATAAAGTTGAGGTGAGACTAGAAGGTATTACAATGCCAAAATATAAGCAATTTAGATATCTAGGATCGTCGTTTCAAGAGGATAGAATGATAGGTGAACATGCTACTCATAGAATTTAGATCAGATGGTTGAAATGGAGAATTGTTGAGTGTTATGTGATGGAAGAATGCCTACTAAAGTGAAATGTAACGTAACAACTATAAAAGCGAGAATGTTATGTGGTAGTAAATGATGGGCCGCAGAATTCCAACATATCCAAAAGATGACTATTACAGAGATATGGATATGAAAATGAATGTGCAGTCATACAAGATTAGATGAGATTAAAAATGACTATATTTGTCATAAGGTGCAAGTAGTACGCATTGAGGGTAAAAAGGGAGGTCCCGTGAGATGGATTTGGCCATGTCCTGCGTCGACCTACAGATGCACCGATCTGTTGGTGTGAGATTATTATGAGTGAAGGTGTCAAAAGGGGACAAAGTAGATCTAAAATCACATGGATGAAGTTATCTCGAAAGACCTACAAATGCTTGGAATTAATGAAGACTTAGCTAAAGATAGGACAAAATAGACGAAAAAGATTTATATAGGTGATATCTACTAGTTGGGAATATGTTTTAGTTTTGTTAGAGAACATCTAGTATTCTTATTATTATTACGATTATTTATATAGAATTATTTTGGTACGATTATGACATGAGTTGAGCTAAAATGGAGAAGTGAACATTCATATAGCCGATCCAAACTTGGTTGGGATTGATGCATCGTTATTATTATTGTTGTTGAACAATCCGTGTAAATGTTAAAGTACTTTCATCTTTCATTTCTGAAAGGAGAAGAAATAGTGTCAGTTGCTCTTTATATGTATTGTTTGTTTTCTTGGTACCTATTTTGTCAGTCAGCTAGTGAGACCTCTTCATTAATGGGTTCTAAGACATTTAGCTTAGTTGTTGATGTTATCACTTAAGCGATAGAGCTTACCGAGGAATGATATGAGTTTCTCTCATGCTACTTGGAGTCTTGGAGATAGGTTAGTATAGTCGATGGAGGGCCATTTCGTTGACAGGTGTAAAGTAGTGTTGGCACTGATGCTACAGAGCCTCACATAACGCACACATGTATATTGTACAGTGGTGTTGCCAGAAATTCCGTCAAGGGTGTTCAAATTTTAAACAAGACAATAATTCTTTTTGTCAATGAATGGTGTACCAAAATTTTTAAATTAAACTACGCAACATTTAGCTAAACAATAATTTTTTTAAAATAGAAATATAACTTTATAAATCAAAATTAAAATAACAAAAAGACAACGTTAGAAATTTTACTTATAAAAGTAAGTATAAAATCAAAGGAAAGAGAGTCGAAAGGATTTATAGTTTGTAGAGAGCTTTTGTTGAAGAAATTTTTATAGAGCTTGACTTTTAAATTATAAAATTGATTTAAGAAGTAACTTTTAGTTAAAACTTAAGATTAGTTATTTATTTATACACAAATTTTACGTTTTAAGAGTCATTTTATTAGGAATATTTTTAGATTGAAAAAGAATAAAATAAACCACATGGTGGACTGCGTTTAGTTTTAACACAACTTTGATCCCGTGAACAACACGTCACTTTGAACACCCCGAACCGCTGGACTGCCTCACTCAACTATGTCAAGGGTGTTCAAAGTATAATATGTAATTACATAAATTTAGTATTTAACTTATATACGCAGTATAGTGTTTCGGCGAATGGTATGCGCTTGACCACCCTTGGCATAGGGTGGCTACGCCACTGATATTGTATATGCATGTAATATATATATATATATATATATATATATATATGTGTGTGTGTGTGTGTGTGTGTGTGTGTGTGTGTGTGTCTGAATTGTCAGTTTTCAGTGTTTTGATTCCAGACCTGTCCTCTTCTTCATCATATCTATCTCTCTCTGTTTGTGTGTGCGGTGTCTCTCTATCCTCCTGTTTTGTTGAGACAATTGATTTGGTTGTGTTCACCTTTTACTTTTGGCAATATGAAGAGATATTCACTTGAGCTTCTTCATGGTTGCATTTGAAGGTTGAATGTAGAAGGATCTGTACGAATTCCAAAAATGTAATACAGTGCATGTATAAGACATAACCATTGAAGAATGGATGCTAATTTGGAGATGGATGTGGAGATTGCAAATCTTAATAATAGCTTTTTTCGCCCATATGCTTTATTGTAACTTTGTTTTGCCAATTTGATATCATTTCAGGGTTTGCCCTTGCAACTCTTAGTCGGGCGTTACAAGATGCATACTCGTACTTCGGGGTTTACACATTCTTGTAAAAGGACGATGAGTGTGTGCCCCTTGCATATATTCTTGTAGATATCACAGTTGCAGATGAGTTCCTCTCTTAAGAATTCAAAATCGGTTGTGCTTTATTATGCAATTTCAAGGCATTTTTTTGGAATTATATATCGTGTACAGACATACATTATAAGTATAATAATATATCATATTCAGCTACACAGAATTCAGAGTACTTTTTTGTTTCTTTGGTTGTTATGTTGAGATATCTTGTCAATTAAGTTGTGTGAGAGTGCAGTAAGTACGCTTTTAACAGTTATTGATGGCTCTACTTATTTTCAAGCTTACATCAAAGAGTCAATATGCTGTGTTTTTTGTGAATCTAAGTCTCCATAATTTTTCGAGAGATACTAATGCTATAATGTGCTGTCTAACATAATAAGAGAGATGTTCAAAATTCTAGTATGCCTTTTGTATGTTATGAAAGATGATACAGTTGTCTAATCAGCTTAATGTTTTTGAGCTTGAAACTTAGCAATCATGCGCAAATTCAAGTTGCTAATTCTAAATAGCATCCCTAACTTTTTCTTAAGAGTTGAAACCATTTTCTAGTCTTGGGCTAACAATTCCTTATACTGCTACGGCAAAGGTCCTAGTGTGGTTATTTGTCAAGTTACTTGCAATTTAACAAAGAAAACATTTTTTAAAGGATCACTGCAGTGAACGCAGATGTTGTAAAGGATCTTTGTTTTATTGTTCTTATTGCCTTAGACATGACGTGATACCAATCCTAATTATTAATGACGCAGGAACAATCAGGTATTGCATGCCCATTCATTCAATATTGCTAGGTGATGATGATGTGGGTTGACATCTATCTGGTACGTGTCTTCTATTCTCTATTTGGTTTTCTGCCTTCCACCCAAGCTGCAATCTAGTTCGCATAAATGAATGCATCAAAGCAATGGAGGTTTCCTGCAATTTGCTTCCATCCTCGGGTCTTGATCTAGGCACATGTCACGGGTTCAAACCTTGCTACAGACAAGCATGATATATAGGTGAAGGGTAAAATAACTTATTCCTTATCTATTAAGTGTCAACACTAGCCTTCAGTGATTTCTCGTCTATCCAAAAAAAATAAAAAAAATTCCTTAATCAAACGCTGCCAACTCTTCAAAATTTCAGATCCAACCTCTTCTTCTTTATAGATCGGCATCTTCAAATCGATAAAACCCAAAAGGTCAATCGGCCTTCAATGGCGTTTTCAGACCATCGACGGTGTTTAAAATCACATTTTAGATTTAAAACTACAACATCCATACTAATATATAGTATATTTCTGTATATAATATCTCAAGCCCAATCCATCACCTTAGCATCCATTTGCTACAGTCACATCCTCCTATTAAAAATACAAATTTTCACCATTAAAAGACCATAAAGATCAAAACTTATCTTATATTTTTGGGAAAAACAAAAGATTTTAACTTTATTGAAAATAAAAAAGCAGAACATATAACAAAAGTTCAATTTTGGACTTACCAACTGTGAGAAAACAAGCTCCAAAATCATGAGAAGGAACACAACAAAGACATGGTCAGAACCTAAGTTTCAATTCCAAATAGTTATTATCGGAAAAAAATTGGGCAGCTGCCATGTCGGGTTCCTTACAACACCAAATTATTATATTGTTTCTATGCGACCAAGGTTATGAAAAGGGGAATTATGGTACAAGCTATTATTGTTTTCTATTAATTTCTATTTTTTTGTTTCTTTAGTTAAGCACTTGCGGCCTTAAGAGTAAATTGATTCTTTGTTTGGTGTTTCTAAATGATCATAGAGTGCGGGGAGCAGTGGTTTTTGGATGGGGATAATGGCTATTGGTAAAGTTGGAAGGCGAGGGAGAAGATGATGATAATATTTTAATAAGAAAAGGGGTGGGTTAATTAATGACTTGGCAGCTGACATGGCAGGTGACATGGATAAAATTGATGTGGTCAGCTGCCAGTGTCAAAACGTTAGGGTTAGGGGTATTTTTTCAAACTTCATTAACGGCCGGGACGAGAATGGCCGAAAAGTGTAACGGGTGGCACAAGTAACCAATAAACAATAGTAGAAGGGCAATTTTGATCCTTTTCCCTATAATATATATCAGTCTAAGGTGGAGCTCGTGATCTTTGGGTGGGGGGTGGGGTGTTCTAATAATAGGTGAGTGGTGCTTAGCGCAGACGTGGTCGAGAATTGGAAGCCCTTTTGGTTTCGCACCTATACTTTACATGTACTCTTCATTTTGATATCGCCCAAGTTACTCGCATTGGACCTGTATAAACACGGCATGAATATCTGAGTTTTGAAGTCCAAGTCAGGGATTGGTTGAGAGGGTCATAGTCCTACGTACGTTAGCTAATGGACATATGACTTCTATCCATCCATTTTGAAGTTTTTGAGTAAGTGTATCTTTCAAAATACGCTTAAAACCAGCAAGATCGAAAACACCTTTTTCGGTTTCATGCCAACATCCAATACATTTATCAGGCTCCAAGTTTAAGCTGGCGCGCTTTTGATTTGTTAAAATTCAGATTGATGTGTTATCAGGAATTGGTGGGAGACCAATCTATTGCTAATTTAGTTGATGCAATCACTGAAAAATACTTTTAAAGTATATTTTCGTCATTCAAATGATTATTTGTACCCATATAGACACGGTAGTATGCAGGAATTTTTGGGTAACATCAATCAGTTTTCTAATTAGTTTAGAGCCTAAGTGTAGCCAACCGATCGTTTGATGTTAGTCCGTTTAACTCAAATTTGATGGCTATTTTGGTTTTTGACTCGGGGTCATCTTTGCCAATATATCATATAATGTCACAAGTAAAAGACTCGAAAGAAAATATCGGGAACTCTTGACATTCAAAAAGCAAACGCCCAGGAACGGAATCAAGCAAGAATCTATTGCTTCAGGAAGGGAACAGTATAGATGGTTGCTTGTTGAGGTGGAATGGTAGTTGATATAATAGAAAGAAAAAAGGGAAAGAAGTGGCTTCATGTAGGAGCAGTCCTTTTTATAGACATTAAAAAAAAATGGTGGATCTTTTATAGACATTAAAAACTATATTTCCCATACCAAAAAAAAAAAAAAATCCCCATTAAAAAAGAAAGAAAGAAAAGAATGGTGTATCTTTTGCCAAACGAGGGTTGATGTAGGTCCCACCGAATTTGTATTACTGTAGAGTTCGAAAAACCTAGGAAAGCATCAAAATCATCATTACTAGGTTCATACAATATGAGTACTGGATGTTGTGTCATATTTTTACCATCTTGTGTTGGGTCTTGTTGATCGAGTAAAAATCTACTCGCATTTGATATTTATTTCATATAATACTAGATTTAAGTACTTTTCCGTTTCAATTCATGTGATGCTATTTTCTTTTTAGTTTCCAAAAAGAATGATACTTTTCTATATTTAGTTACAATTTATCTTTAGAATGTCATTTACCTTTTATTAAATAATTTATAGCCACATAAATATCTATGATAAATTTTAAATTATAAGTTTCAAAAGTTTTTTTTTCGTGCCTAGTCAAACAGTCACATAAATTGAGACGGAGTTGAAGGGAGTAATTAATTAGGTGTGTTAATTTATTTGGCAACTCTCACCTTTGTTCAAAGCCGGAGGCTGGTCAAAAGCAAGGTGTCATAAATCCTTAGCAGAGGCGATTATTATAAGAATCAGAAATATAAGTAAAAGCTACAGGGTGAACCCAACAGCCACTTATTTAAAAAGCCATTTGAACCATGTTATTAAAAGCTATCATTTTGTTGTTTAAAGTGACAAAGTGATGCCAAGCGAATGGTTATTGCTCCATGAGTGAATATGCACTTTAAAAATGTATGGGATATAATTTAATGTTCAAATTCCAGTGGGGCAAAAACACTAAATGATTTTGCTATCTATCTAAGTTTTGGTGGAAAGGATTTTCAGTCTTTGTCCCGGTGGGAGGTAGTAGGTATCTCGTGAAGTTAGTCGAGATATATGCAAAGTGGCTTAGATGTCACATTTATTACAAAGAAGTGTGCGCTCGAAACCTTGACTAGCGCGCAAATTGTTTAAAAGAAGAGTAGTGGTTTCTTGGAATCTTAACTTTGAAAAGTAGGATTAATATCGGCATCATTTTTTATTTAAAATGAAATTAGTTATTTAAATTGGAATTTGATTGTTATAGCACTAAACTCATATTTATGTGGTATTCTTTAATTTTTGTGAGTTGTGTGCTTCATTTCATTGAAGTGTTGCTCTCCAAATCAAACAATCTTTTAGGTCTTTTGCGCTTCACTTTTAAAAACACGAGCGAACATGAAAAGTCGAACCATTTGTTGGAGATATGGGCGAATAGATAGGTCTATTTTGAGGCTCCAAGGGTGGGTAGATAGGATCTATTTTGGGACACGCAATTTAGTCGATTTGGATTTAGGTTTCTTTTTTTTTTTGGATTTGGGTTTTGCTCGTAAGCTGGAACAAACCGATTGTCATTTACATCTTTTTTAACATTCATATTTTGGTCAATCCGTAACATGGGAGTTAAATAAAATAGTAATAATTAGGGGTGTGCATGGATTGGGTTGGTTTTGTCGGGTTTTTCGGGTTTCAGGTTTTTTCGTTACATGAATATTATTTCAATCTTACTTTATTAAAATTATAAATAAAGTTTTGATAAGTGAATATATGTTTAGTAAATATGAAAAAAATTGACAAACATATGATCTATTAAAATATTCTAATGAGAGAATTTTTTTAGTGACACATGATAGTTATTTTCTTAGTCGTCTAACAATAATTTTTCGTTAATTTACGCATTCAAGGTTAATACATGAGAGGATCCCAAATATTTTTACATTTTCTAAAGAAAAATCACTATAAAGTCTTAAAAATATAAATAAAATTTTTATATTTATATGTCGGTTTGGTTCGGGTTTTTTTACTCAATACCAAACTAAGTCAAATCAAATCTAATCGGGGTTTTTAATCGGTTTGGTTTGGTTTTTCGGTTTGGTTTGGTTTTTCGGTTCGGTTTGAACATCCCTAGTAATAATGATGATTGTAAGCACAGATCTTGAGAGTGTAGTTTGGTTGTTGATTAGCGTGTGATCCTACTGCAACGGACGCATAGGTGTTCACCCCCTAAAGTCAAAATTTATTATATATGTAGATTATACTCAAATTTCTCCCTTAAATCTTTGTTTCCGAAAGAAGGGACAATTTTAGGGTAAATAATTTTGTTTTGTGCACCTCTCTAGTCTTCCCTTCTATCCACACCAAGCTACTTGCTTGCCCATTCGTTCCCAATCCTTTTTTTTAAAAAATGTGGCGGAGGCGGACCTCTCCGCTAAGTTGCTGCCTCGCCTTGTCTACTACAGCGGAAAGCATGGAAGAAAAAATGAAGAATTTTTAATCCAAAAATAAGAAGAGAGGAACTTACGGGCGGTGCATTTTTGGGAACTAGCCAATAATTTTTAATTCAATAGGAGAACTATTGAAAGGTGACTGAAACACTAGATCCGCTGCCTCCACTTGGCTGCTCCTGTCTGCTCTCTAGTACTTCCCATTTGGCAGCATGTCAAGTGTTCTGCCTAAACGAGGATGAGGTTAGTTCTGTTGTTTCTTTCTGAATTTTCATTAGTTAAGTTACATTTTTTTTTAGTTTAACTCATTATTTTTGATTTTGTATTACAATGGAACGTCTTATTTACTATTCTAATGTTTAATACGTTGTGCTAATTAGTTAAAACAAATATATGATTCTTGGTTAAGAACAAAATTTTGTTAACTTACGCGAAAGACAGAACATCCTAGTATGGTAAAATTTAGTGTAATTTTACAAGTATGGTCTTGGGAGGATAATGTATGCAGATTTTATAACTACTTTGTAGACACTTGGCTCGGGGAAAAAGAATAAGGAATGTGCTTTAACTACAAATTCAAAAATATATTTCCAGGTTTACTGTCCAACACTCACTTTAACTGCAAATTTTAGAAAAGGCCACAGTTGATTCATTGCACCAGCGGTCTATGCACATCATGCAATAGCACGAATCTTAGGCTACAGCACGTGAATGAACGGTTCTATGAATCATTAACCCCTAAACTTGTCACGGATTATTAGTTACAGCCTTAAATTATATGTGGTCTTAATTACTCCCTCAACTAAACCTTTTGAGAGCCATTACCTCCCTGGATGCTGATGTGGCAAATTGTGGGTATACTTACTTGCCACGTGAATTTTTCTGTATATGTGATATTTTTTTGAAAAATAAAATATATTTTTACCTTTTGAGTATGTTACTTTTTTAGATAATTTTTTTCGAATAAAATTTCTAATAAAACTTGGATAGAACTACATTATTTAGGCTAAAAATTTTTATTTGGCTAAAAATAATAAAATTTTAATTAATCTTTTTTTTGGATTTGGCCTGAAAATAAAGAATTATACAATTGAAATAAATAGTCAAGCCTCTAAAAAGTTATAAAAATACATAGTTTGAAATTAATTATTTTGGCTATAATTTTTTATATAGTTCTAAATTATGGTGCTCTAAAAATACACCGTTAAAATAATATATATATATTTTACATATTTTACCTGAAAAAGTAAAAATACACCGTTAAAATAAATAGTCATTGCATCAAAAGAAAAAATAAAAAGAATGAACAATTGCAAGAAATAACTTATATAATTTTAGCCCGCGCCAGAAATTATTTAAATCTGATAGCCGAAAAAGTGTATAAAATTTATATAATTTTTGTATATAATATATACTCATATAGAATATATATATATATATACATATATATATATATACGGCTATTATTTTTACAGCGGCTATACAATGTCATTTTACCTTTATAATTGGCAATTGTATACAAAATAATGTATTGGGCTTCAATCTTCTCCATTTTCTCTCCCCCTTCTTCCTTCCCCAAATTCAAACCTCTTCACCCAAAGCTTAAATTCACTTGCTTCTCGATCTTCATACCTATACTCATTCAAGTTTTTCCAGTAGTTTAAAAAGCTTAAACTTCATTAATTAAGAGCTTAAACTCCATTTGACTTCATTAAAGATCTGACTAAACAAAATCATGTGGTTACTTAAGAGCTTAAACTCATTGATAGCCATTAAAAGATTTGAAGTTTTGAATTAGAAATCGAATTTTGCGAAATTTTTGGATTGGATGTTGTTACAAATAATTAAGAATATCTTTTAGAATTTATATTTCAAATTTTAAGGAATTTGGTGAAGATTCTGTAAGCACGTGATTTTTGCCCTATATAAGAATTACTCCCAAAATTCTAAAAATAAAACAATTTTTTGTTTGTTTGCAATTGTTGTGAGTTTTGTGTTATTTTTCTTGTATTGTTTGCATTTGTCTGCGCATGTTTATTTTATAAACTAATAAAAAAAATACAAAAATACGTCGCATTTGCGTTTAGGATTTAAGTTTACAATTATTAGTAATTAAGTTTGTTTTACAAGAATGAAAATTACAAAAATAGGCATCTTTTGCATTTTTAGCATTTATTGTCCAAATTGTGAGATTTTATTTTATTGATGTTTAATTTTGGGTGATAATTATTATTAGAAGTTTAATTAGTATTTAAAGATAATTTTGGTTTTATAATTTAATTTTAGTTTTATCAATAAGAAAGAGAACAAAAAATAAACGAAAATCGGAT